GAACAGAAATGACAAGGAGAGCTTTGTTCAAGATCTGTTACTTACAGATATCAAAGGAGTGGAAGCCATCTAACAGATTAAATTGCCTGTTTTGTTGTTTAACGTCCTTCATGAGAATTTTTACTCAAATGGAGACGCCACCTCTTGCCCATGGAGGACTGAAAATTGGCACCCAGAGCTACTGAGTAGTGTGGTATCTTTAGAACACTTACCGTGACACCAGTAACACCTTTTATTTATGGTATCATCCAAAAAAGGTCTCCACAGAGATTGTTGTCTCCCGTAGAGATTTGCTTCCATGTCAGAACATATAATCGGTTCAGACTTCCTTTTGATCCGGTATTCTCACATACTTATTTATATATTTAATTTGCCTCTAGAAACAAATAAAGCTGCATACGGAGTTTATATCTCTCAGTTGATTTGATATGCAAGAGCATGCCCTACGTTTGTACAATTTCTAAAAAGAGTTAAATTATTGACAAACAAGTTTATGAAACGAGAATTACAGTAGTCTCGTTTAAAGTCATCACTTCGTACGTTCTATGGTCGATACAATGACCTTGTCAGCAAAAACAATTTATCATTAAGTCAAATGCTGACTGACGTTTTATATAATATATAACATATTGTTAGTCCATTATTTACACACTGAATTGACGACGGATTTTCCAGTTATTTCCCGATCATGACAAGGAGCACACGGTGGGTATGACCGGTCGGCAAGGGATGCTCACTCGTCCATGGCACCTGATCCCACCGCTGATGTTTTGGAGGTCCATGTTTGCTCAGCACCTATTTTGTATTGTTTTATGGACTTTTGAGCTTTAATACTGTTCGCAATCTCATTATATTTCATTTGATGAATTTGAGTACCATCTAGAGGGCATTAGTATACGTTACAATACTCATCAGTTGTCCGTTATGTAATAATATTTGGATCAATACTGATATTTTTTAAAGACATTATAACTAACGATTATTGTGCATATAATACTATATTGATTACAGCATTTGCATTTGCGCAGTTTTTTTTTTTCAAATTGTTTTGATACTGACATCTCAAAGGAAGCACTAGAATACTCCGAATAAATATCGAGATTAATTTGTGGATTTTATTTGCAGTGAGAAAAGTGTGTCTGCTTGATAACTGATCATGAGCGGAAGACAACAAAGAAATATCTCCCCCTCTGTCTCAATCTCTTGTTATGAAAACTGGAAACATTTATTATTCAGTAAAAAGTTATTGCATAGTGCTTTGACTTTGCTCCTCATTATTTTTTTTTTCGACTTTAAAGCCATGAACGTCTGTTGACCTTTCAGTGTTTTCCGTCTTTTTAATGAGATGATATTCATTCGAGTTCATTTCAGTATGGTTAATTTCAACGTTTTAACATACCTCGAAATAAGCGGAAAAAAAAAGAAGAAAATTTTAAAAATAAGAATGACAACATTTCTCTTCAATTTAAGGTTGTTGTTTAAATGCACGCTAAGAAGGTTACCGAGATATGTGATTTACTTTTTAACTATTATAAAAGTCTAACATGTGTTTTTATTAAAATGCAATTTAATATTCGATGTTTTTAAGAATTGTCTGACACGTGCAGACGTCGCCAAGATTACTGCGTAGGCAACCATGAATTGAGTCTAAAAAAATATTATGAAATTTCAATATCAACATATAAATTGTGTGTAATTTCACTACTCATGAATGCTAAAAAAGAAGAAAAACATTACTAAGATTCGTAACATTTTCGAATTAATTAAAATAACTTTTAGCATTCTTTATGGATACCTTTAAAGGGGCTTGGACACAGCTGTATAACGCCGTAACGGTTTTATTTGCAATTTTGAATTTTCTATCTTTATTAAAAATATATATTGTTTTCAATATAGTGCATTGAACTTTGTATGAAATTCCAAAAATTCAATAACAAGGAAATTCCTCATAATATCAAGACAAACATTGTTAGCTGTGCTTGTAAATAAGGCAGGTGCTCTGTTATTATTGTTTACATTTTACCGTATTCAGTGCACATATCGCTGAGAAAGAACTGGTAATACACGCGAGTTGGATTTGCTTTCTCACGTATCTGTATTTATAATTGTATATATTGTATGAGAAATCTAAATTAACAAAAAAAATATTACAGTGTCAAAGTAGGTTATTGGTAATTTTTGTTTTGATGACGTCACAAACTATTCGGATTTTGTATTTTTGATATGGATCATTTATACACAGAAAAATTTCCACTTTTCTTTTAAGTTAAGAATAATGTATACAGTATGGAAGTGCAACTAAACGAGTCAGTCAAATGCGTTACAAAATTTGTGGTTTTGATATTCAGATGAAATATATGAAGAACACTATTCAAGCTCAATAGTCCATAAAACAATACAAAATAGGAGCAGAGCAAACACCTACCTCCAAAACATCAGAAACGGGATCAAGTACCATGGAGTAGTGAACATCCCCTTGCTACCGGTCATACGTGTGCTCCTTGCCGTATGCTCAAATAAAATATGTTTTAGACACGCTTTTCTAACAGTTCAAAGAGAAATGCTCTAGCAATGAATTTGAAAATATTAACCACAAATCTGTGTCCAAGCCCCTTTTAAAATTGAAAATGGTTTCTACTTTATATATCATTTTTACTTCTGATTCACTTAATTTTTTCAGAGGGAGCTGATATTCCATCGTTTCATTGATTGCATGTCATTTTCCTAAAATATATTTAAGAACGTGAGTTACAACATCGCAACCCGGCATGGTGTACCGCTCCTAAAGCGAACACCCTTCTAATATAGGCCGTATATAACTGCCCTCATCAGTCCCTTATATTCAAAGAAATATTCCCATTCAGCTATGACACAAATGGAATGTGTCGTTTTGTCAATTTAATTTGTTTGTTGCTGTAAAAGGCACATTTTCTGGCTTCGGTCATGAAGCACGTTATGAGCATTACTATTAGAACCCTCTGATGAACCGGTTTTTTTCATTATGGTTTGTTTTTATACCCCTCGCTTGACAAGTTTGGGTGTATAGTGAGTGGGGGTGTCCGTCCGTCCTTTATGCCGTTTGTTATGCTTTGATGGTACTCATCTCTTATCAAAACACTTCTTATACCACTGAATGAAATTTAGACTTTCACGGAATCTTTGTTACTTAACGCCATTGTGCGTCTCATATTTTACTTTTTGATACGATACATACTTTCGGTTTCTCATTGCAAATATGGGCACTTCCATTCTTTCTTTAATATTGAAGGGTACCCATCTCTTATCCGCAACTCCTCTATACCACTAAATAAAATTCAATGATACTTTCACAGATTCTTACCGGTAATTACATGCCATTGTGTACCTCCTAATTTTTATTTTTGATCTTAAACTTATATCGTGTCTCTAAGAGCAAAAAAATTTATGAGCTCAGTACCCACAGTAACTCTAGTTTTTAACTGAGACAACGTTTGACATATGCAAGATATCATTCACGTGAATTAAAGCTTTTAAACGTACAAATTAGAATAGTAAACTCTTCAAGTGATTACCTTTAAAGTTATACACTTCTTACAGAGATTTAAAAAAAGGTGTTTTAGATACATGTATGCATGTTATAGTTTATCAACATATGTTCTTTGATGAAATAAAAGATATTTGAATCGTAAATATACTCGTATCTTAGCTACATGAATGTAGTGTACAATGACATACGATTAAATGATTCTTTCGCTTTCTGCTTTGTTTTCTCCTGGCAGGTTAACCAATACTTTCTCTACAAAATATAGTATAACAACCATTTACACGACTATTTTCTGCCACAGCCTGCAATTATGAAACAAATCATATATATTTATCCAGGATGCGCTAAATACAAGTTCATATTTTCCGGCCAGACCCGCATCTAAGGAATATTTCTCAGAGACACGAAGCTCGTCACGCAATAAACGTGTTTGAAGTCTGCCTAATCAGACAATCATTAGCTTATTTTTTTTTAAGGCTTATGAAGCAAAGGAAACATGTCTTCTCGGATTTAAAGGGTTACTTTTTTTCGTATGTTATTTTAGAAAGTTTTTGCGAATGAAAAATCTTAAAAAAGGAAATAGTTTTAAGAAAAATTTCTTTTCAGTGAATCTTCAACATTTCTTCCTCATATTTAGGCATTGAATTTTAAATTTCGGGAGTTTGAAGACAACTTGTTATAATACATATTGGTTAAGTTTTTGTCCAACGCCATTGGGCCATCGGTTTAGTTAAAGGGTGCAGCAAACTCTTTCTGCATAGTCAATTAACCCTATTGCACCTTACACACAGCAGTGAAAAATCTACGAATTTAAGTTAGATTTGGCCTGTTTACGCATGTTGAGTGACCACGCCTTAATTGAAAATCGACCAATACATATATAGATGTGTCTGCCAATAACAGAAAATATGATTTGTGAAAGACATTTTATTTGACATAAGTCATACAATTCAGCAATTTAAATATACAGTGGTGATCGATAACAGTATAAAAGTAGCAACACAGTAACAGGGCGTAATACTTATCATGATAATAAATAATGTACATAAACATTCATTTGATTTCTTTCCCGATACAATAATGCGCATTGAAGTGAAAACCTTTCTGTTTTCACGTTGTGACATAATAACACACCCATTTCTTCAGGAAGGGGGGGGGGGGGGGTCAGTTGGTTCATTCGAATACCCGCAGAATGGGAATAATTCTATAGATACAACAGCCAATCAGATTGGGAGTCTTCAACGAGTAAACACGTGTTCGAACGATAAATACTGTAATAACATCAAGAAACATGATAAAATCTCAACGTTCCATTCAAACAAAAACTTTTTCTACTTCAATGCACATCGATGTACATGTGTCTTCATTGAGAACAGTGCCGCCATAATGTAGAGTAGTGGTTAGCCTTAAATAAGTAAAGCCCCCAAATAGGGCTTCTAATGGAAGATTCTGCAAACATAGTGAACCAATGTATAAAACATAAAGAATGCAAATGCCTAATAGGTTTTGCAAATGCCTTTTTCTTCAACTATATAAAAATTTAACTTGATTTAGGGGTTAAGGGTTGAATGAAATGTGTGTTTTTTTTAAATCAAAAAGCTTTCTACAGAATAACTTTTTACCAAAAATGGCAACAAAAAAATCAAATCCTAGCAATTAATACTTTTTTGGTGAGGTCTACATTTTAGCTGTTTAGCCATGCAAGTCAAATTTAGGAAGTATTGAAATCTTTGTAAGATAACTCTCCGTATTTTTTCTTCATTGAATTGGTTCATATTTGTCTTCTTTTTTCATGTCTTAACAGCCATAATTCTTTCCCTCCCCAATTTCTTTTACTTTTTGAATGCAAAATCGTATATTTTTTAAAATAAATTTTATTGACTACATCAAAAAATTTCGAAATTTTTTAATTTTTTTAATTGGATAAACTTTGTATAAAGGAATTGTGAACGTTTATGAATGTATTAGTGCAAAAAATATATGCTAGCATTACAACGCGTTGTATCATCTTTTTTTGCTACGTTTTCGCCAGTATGTTTAGCACTTATATTACATAAAAGAGCAAAGAAAAAGTCTGTCACTTGAAGTTACAGAGCCAAATGTAATTTCTCTCAAAGTAAATTTTAACACGATTCATATGATGTAATGTTAAACTGTATTTTATGGAAGGTAAGGAATACTTATTTGAACTCAATCAACAGATAAAACCCTTAAAGATTCAATTTCAAAACACAATCGAATTTACAGAGGTTATACAAACCGCTGCTAAAGGGGGCATCCAATATGATATATACTTTGTCATGATAACATTCTTTATCATACAACAATTTTTCAAACTCTCATTCCATCATAATAACAATGCTCTTTCTTGAGATTCAAGCAAAGATTTAAAACAAGAATATAACAGAATGAATAACATGGTATTGACCCAGGCGGCTGAGCAGAGTGGACAGTCAGTTCTGGTGAGTGAGGAATTTCTGTAAAAAGAAAGAAAGGAGAATAAATACACAGTTTAAGTTCGGGGAAAAAAATAAAGAAGAAATTTATGTACAGATAAACTTCGATATATTGAATACTGATATCTCGAGCATCATGAATATGTCGTAATGATTTTAAAGTCCCAACATTTTGTGTTTTAAGTTTTTCGCCCCAGATATCTCAATTTCTTGGATATCTTGAATTTGGTTTTGATTCCTTCGAGTTTGAGATAAGGAAATTTCACTATATACATACTATAAGTGTCTATATGCGTGAAATATGTGTGCCAGTATCATTTAAATTTTCCCATCTCCTTTAAGATTAAGCACCAAAGACTATATATACAAGGAAGAAGCCGCATATTTTAAAAAAGGTATTGCTAAAACAAAGCATTTAGGTCGATCTATAAAAATTATCTGTCAACATTCAAAACGTTGGCGTAAAACTGGTCGTGCCTTTGTTTGTTAGGAATCCATGACGATTCTCTGCAAACAACTCTCGTCATCTGGATCCTGTTAAGCATAACCGTATAACATGATTAAAATCCCCGCTTTAATGATCTAAGCTCATGCTAGCTATATAACTTAATGATAACTCCCTGTAGAAGGATTTATTCTGTTGTATTCAGTGACAAGGAGGAATAAATTTAAAAAAAAAATACCGTGATTTACATTTTGTAGTGCTGTTTTTCTTTGCTTTAATTATTTGATAGTAGTTTTGGAAATCAATTTAGGAAATATCGGCTTTTCAGCTTTGTGATGCAAGTAGACTTTTCCAAGGTCATTATCTCGACTGCAAATTGTATAAAAAAATGTATATTAAATTGGTGAAATAAAATTCATTGATACTTATAAGCAGAAAATCAATAAATATCTCCCAAAATAAACCTGCCTTCCTACATTTATTTTCTTAAGTGGATCATTCTTATATGTTATTAACGAGCGAACTAAAAAAAAAATTTTAGAAAGAATTTTTTTTTATCTTTTAAGACTTCTCATGCATAATTCATGATTGCAATTTACAGCGAGGAAGAAAAAGTTCTTGCCTTACGAAAATTACATTAAAACAATTTGTCACGACTGTCATCTAACCACTTCTGCAGCATTTGTCAAAACGACCGTAATTATATAGTAATAGAAAAGTGCAGCACCAACCAACCTAAGCCATTTTCCAAGAAACGTAAAAATCGTTAATTCTGCAGAATAATTTGACATGTTTTCTGGTTCGGAAAGATATTTGTCAGAAGAAATTGAGACTATTACGTTTGATTTTGTTGACAACAGAACTTTATTTCGTTTACTGTGTTGAATGTTGAAGGATTGTTTCAACGTCGAAAATAATAAAACGGTTATTGGCATCAAGTTCAATAAATCCTTGGAGAGAAGGAGAGAGATCAAAGTTGCTTTAATGCAGCTTCCCTCATGAACATACGATATATACAATATTTTTATGGTTAAGAAGAACAAGATTTGTATGATTAAACGACTAATGTACTAAAAACTACAAATTCTCATACATGTTTTGCTACCTTTAGTTATATTTGTACACGTAAAATTTTTCATTAGATTTGTGCTCTACATGCAAAAATGTTTTGAACTTTTGTATATAGTTTAACGTCAGCAAAACTTGATAATTTATATCGGTTACTCTCCTGTAAGGAAAGGTTTTTATTTTATTTTATTATTTATTTATTTTTATATATGCATCAATTTCAGGAATTCACTGTCATTTTTCGAAAAAAAAATACTAAAAGAAAACAACAAAAGAATATGAAGAAAAATGGGGAAAAGATCCTTTTGTTTAAATACGAATTTGTGAGCATGTGGAGAATATCGACAAATTGACCCATGTATTTTGTTACAGTTGTTAGTTACTATTGACCAGGCCCATAATGCTGGGCTACATGGACAACTATGCAGATGGCATCAATAATAGGTTTGTAATTCTACACCCAGCTTGTGGCATAAACGCCATGTCATAAAGATCTCATGTAAATATGCTCCACTTCTTGCGATCCATACTTGGATATTTCAGCACACTAGCTGACATTTACCGAGTTCTTTCAGTTTGAGGAATCTATTATTGATAAAATTACTGAAATAATTAAGAGTCAATGCCTTAACAAAGACACATTTCATGGCGTGTGATTCAATAATGATTATAGCAATTACACTGTCTCAATATGATAAAAGTTTATCATGCAACTGTTTGCAGAGTCAAGTAATATTCGATAATTTTAAATTATACGAACAAATGTCAGCTTCGTGTTTGACAGAACGAAATATGAAAATTAACTTCGATTTAATTAAACAAAATGCACAATCCATCAATATCTATTATGCAGTTTACTTTGTAAATCAATCTGGAAAATATAAATACATAATTAAAACAGTTCGCTGGAGGATCGACGTGTTTTCTTACCTCAAATGATGCATCGTTTCGTAGATGAACGGTAAATAACTGTCGTTGTTGAAGAAGACATCGAATAATTGCCAGAAACAAAATCAAAACAGTCATGTCTTTCGCCTTTCGGACAATTTTATCACAGTTTGCAATTTTTGACAAATCAATAAAGTTATTCTCCAGATTGTCATAAAGATTGTTTGTTCTTCAAACTTCGTCTTGACCCAACTTCCGGTCCAAAATAGCCAATGGACCCACCGGTCCCTGAAAACCACCTCCATTAGAAACCCCACCCCTTTGGGATGTTTCCCATAACTGTTTTTGCATCATTGCAAGTGAGATTTTATTTGCATTCAAGAAATCACGCATGGAAATCATTTCGTCTGAGTTCCTTCTTCCTTCGGAATCACTGTCCGGTTCAACAGTCACGCTGTGGGCTTTCGTTGACCCGTTTGATTTTGAGTGTCGATGTAGATGACCTGGCGTTATTGCATTTCGACGCCCATTCGTAGGCTTCTTCATCCGACGCCTACAGCGACAGTTCATCTTCTGAATGAGCCAATTTAAAAACTGTTTTATCACAATGGACGTCACGTTGAATAAACTGTATATACAACAGCACCCTATCACAATGAAGATAAAATTCCCGATTCGGTATAACTCTACATTATCGTACTCTGCTTTCTGACTGACAACCAAATCACCGAATCCAATTGTGGCAAACGCCACAAAACAAAAATATATTGCATCAAAGTAGGTCCAGTTTTCTACGGGCTGGTACATAGCCGATGCACAACAGGCCACGACAACCGCCCCCAATAAGAGGATAAGCATTACCCAATACACAGACGGTTTCCACGTGTCCAGATGGTCATCGTCTGAAGTTTGAGATGATCGTCTGTCTCTAGAGTCACGTGATCCATCGCCACCGGATTTCCTCCTAAGCTTTCGTTCGTGGACAGAACGAAGAATGTAAGCTAAGAATGTGATGATCCTTTCCAGGAAGAGGTTGAAAAACAAAATAGCACTAGCACAACCAAAGAAACCGTAGAAGATGAGGACGACTTTTCCAGGGACTGTTCTTGGGGTAGTCATTCCAAATCCTACAAAAAAATTTCAGAATATACTTTACCAGACAAGAATGAATCAAATAACAATGACCTTCATCAACTCTGATATGAACATATTGTTCAGACATCACAGCAAATATCTCTGTTACATGTATACACTTATCAAATAAGGAGAAAAACACTTTAAAGTATGCAATCGTTTGTTTTTTTAAAATAATTATCAAAAATCATCTCGGGATCTCAACCAGATTCTTCGTTTTCTTAGAAAATCGATCTTAAAGGTAATGGATTTAACGATCATATATAAATTATTTCTACAGGAAAACCTCTAGATACCAATATTATTTATAATCTGAAATTGTAAGTCACATTATCGTGATGGAAATGAGTAAAGAAATGCAAAAGATTTTTGGTAGCACAACATCGGTTGAAAGCACAAAATAACTGCTCCTTGTCGGGACTACTAAACATTACTTAGCATTAATGACCACGAATTCCGTATTTTTTGGAGTAACGTGCTCAGAATTTAATGCATAAGGAAAATGAAATTCGATATTGAAAAACCCAGACGATATTCCAGAGTTAGCATGTCTTTTTATCTCAGCATCAAAGACATGAAATACGGCAAAGAGCTATTTAAGCTGATTCTTAGACAAGTCTCGTCTAAATGTATGCCATGAATACTATATATCTGATATAGCCAAGAAATGCCAACGATGAAAAACCTTTCGCTGAGGACATTCACAACGCGACATCACTGTACTGAACTAACATTGTTGTTGACGGTGATTTACGACGTGTATCGTATTTAATGTAATTTTTGTGATAACATTGATGCTATCATTCCGACCAAATGAACAATAATCAAGCTTGGGAAATATGCTTTGGGACATTTGCTACACATCGGAGACTGCCGAATCAGATACAACGACCTTCTAAAGGAGAAAGTGTTAAATGTTCTGCCTTAGAAGTATTCCAAAGGAAACTCATAGAAAACGTCCATTGTTGACTCGTAGAACTACATACTTTATGAAACCTAAAATTTGAAAGAGACCATATTGTCGGTTCTTGATCAGTAATATTTAAAACATTTGAAAGAGAACATATTGTCGGTTCTTGATCAGTAATATTTAAAAGATATGTTCCATCAATCTTTAAATTTCAAAATACCACGACTTTAGCCCAAGGATACATCGGCATTACAAGTATTGTTGGATATATATACAACTTGAGTTTGTTATTGCTTATTGATTTATCATACTTTGGGGATATTTTTTGTAAAACTTTTTTTTTCAATTCTAATTTTTCAACACAATTCATTTTATACGAAACATTTATTATCTCTATTATGACAAAATTGGGCTTTTATATACTTTTAAGAGAGAGAGAGAGAGAGAGAGAGAGAGAGAGAGAGAGAGAAATAGTTGGTTCCACCTGTTCCATTGAGTGTCTTTTTTTTTCTTTTTCACCTTTTTTTATATGATGTAAATTTTTGTGTTTGGTAAAAACGATTCAAGTGTGATAGCAAAGGTTTTTCAGTATATCTAAGTAAGTATAAATATGATATTTAAACCATAAAATTGAGGTCACTTTATGTATAACTCTTTTATAACTTACGAAAAAAGTCACGTGTAAATTTTTTTTACGTATTATAATTAGCTCTCATATTGATATAATAATGCTTTTCACACGTATTCCTTCGACACCTATTTTTTAAATAACAGAAAAAATATAAACACGTGACTTAATTATAGATATATAATAGATTGTTATTGGATTCTTTTTTACAGAATTTAACAAAACATGCTTCCATATACATACAACTTGTCTATAATCTCTTGGCTGAGCCGAGAATTGGAATCACATTTACTTTCCTTTTTATTGCAAATATCAGGGTCTTTGGCCTAAAATAGCCTCGAAATATGTAAACCCATAAAAATGAATATATTGAGTATGATTCTTGTCCTGCTCGAATTGTTTTTACTCATATAGAGAAGTCACCATATACTTGTGAAGGGCTTGAATTCAATCGGCACTCCAAGGGATTTTTTCGTGACAACATCTACCATGACACGGGGTCTCGGTTTTAAAAGTCTCATCTGAGGGACCTGCAACTTTCACTTCAAAGTCCTGAGCGCTTGGGGAAGGAACATTGGCTATGGCTACCTACCTTTTTCGAGTTGGAGTACAAATACCCGACCTTCCGATTACAAAGAGAGATAGAGATATCAAGTTAAAGGCATATGAGGAATAAGATATTGATAATATCCTTTATCAGAACTTGAACAATAAAAAATACTATTGAAAAACATTGAATTATTGAAGTGCTCTAGATAGCAAAATTTATAACAGGTTTCATAAGAGTCTTCAATGTCAATAAATTTAGTCTTATCCTAGTTTTTTACATATTTCTGTTCGAAAAATCAAATATCAAAAATATATATTTCAGCTTATCATTTTTTATGTACATCTGGACATTTTGAGACTGATATTTTATGTAATTCCCATTCTTTTCATAAGAAGCATGCCATTTTTGAGGCAGACATACATCACCTATTTGTCGCTGTTAATTAAAACAACTTTTAATTGCATATTTTTTATCTTTCATCCGTTCCAAAAAGGAAAGAATTCTTAACAGGCACTCATAAAATGAAAAAAATGATAAAACATTTTCTTCATAAGAAGTCATAAAGCACCACTTAGATTTTCATTTTAGTCTATGGATGGAATCAATTGTGGAGATCTTTTCTCCAAATGAGGTACTGCGTCGCAGTAGGTGTTGGCACAGAACAAATCTCACAGCTCTTTGGCGACATATGCCGAGCATATTATCAAACACAAAGTGTTAAAAGTTTAGAGAAAACGCAAACTCTACAGAATTTCAGTCTATAAAACTTTTAAGTGGGTCTCCTGACCCACATGCAAGTTACAGAAAAATTGCAATATAGCTTTCAGTACATGAAATCACAGCCAGCAAAGGTCATTCAATTGCTATAGTAATTAGAGCACAAAAAATCCTTTTGTTTTTAATCTGATTTTCAAAGGTACTTATGTCAATATAAAGTTTTCCATATTGGTACCAATTCAAAGAGACGAAAGGCAAGCAACAGGTATGAAGAACAATTTGTTACTGGTGACAAGAATATGTTTCATTTTTACTGAAGCAAGTAAACAAGAAAAATTATGATCAGAGCCCTTGCCTAAAATAGCCTCGAAATATGTCAAATCCATAAGAGAGGTATATTGATTGAGTGTATGCTAATTTATGTCCTGTTCGAGATTTTTTACTCAGATAGAGACGCCACCATATAGCCGTGAAGGGCTTTACTCGGCACTCAAAGGGATTTTATCGTGCCAACTCCTACCGTGACACAGGGTCTCGGTTGTGTGTTGTCTGAAAGACCCAGAACTTTCACTTCAAAGTACTGAGCACTTGGCGAAGGATCGGGAGCAGTTGCTTCCTACTTTTCAATAAACTTATCCTTGTTTTGTGACATATTTCTGTTCGATGTATCAAACATAAAAAGAATTATAGTTCAGCTAATTAATTTTCTATGTACATTGGAACATTTTACAATTGATCTTTAATGTAATTTCCCTTTATTCTGTTTGAATTAAGCATAACCTTTTTTAAGGACAAGTATACATCAACTTACTTAATAAAAAAAATTTAAATTGCATATTTTTATATCTTTTATCCATTCAAAAAAAGAGAAAAATTCTGAACATGCACTCTGAAACATCGAAAATAAGGCATTCGTCATAGCTCTTTGGCCACTTATACCAAGCATATACTATCAAACCAACGAAGTGTTAGATTTTTGGGGAGAACACAAGCTCTACAGAATTTCAGTCTATAAAATGTTTTAGTGGGTCTCCTGGCGACCATGCCACTTACAGAAAAATGTATAGAATTCAGTAAATCAAAGTAAAAGGCGTTCAATTGCTATAGTAATTAGAACACAAAACATTCTCATGCTTTTTATCTCGTTTTCAAAAATACTTCTCTCGATAAAACGTTTTCCACATTGGAATTAATCTACAGAGACGAAAAGCAAGCAACAGGTATGAAGAACCATGTATTATTGGGTAACAATGACATTTTTCATTTTCAATGGAACATGCAAACAAGAAATTTATGACATGCTGCACATAAGCTCAATTTTTTTAAAAGTCGTAGTATTATAAAAATTACTTTCCTTTGTTGGAAATGAGACTTTTATTTATAATTATACTACGCAGTATTTCCTGATCGTTCCATAGAGGAATGATTGGATCTTCTTTTTTAAACTCCCACTGAATTTGTTGTACAGCAAATTAATCATATGGGATCGTAAGAAATAAATAATGATCCAGTATCTTCCACGGTGCAGATGTTAAGAACGGCGTGATTGGGGAGACTTAGATTTCGGACAAAGCATTGTTAACTGTTTTTTGTAAAAAGATTTTTAAAAAAAGAATGCTTTAATCCTACTCGACAAGTTAATGAAAAAGGGAAGTGGAAATGAAAATATAACACCCCTTATGGTCTTGATAATTTATCAAAACCTAATTTAGATTACAATTGTGACTTAATGTTTGATCGATTTGGTGTATGGTGTTTGACGTCGAATTCGAGATTTTTTTTGATTGATTTAAAAATAAACATGGAAAAGATGATTAGAATGCAATTTAACGTCAAAATTTACAGTGTGACGACTTGCACTGGTGTCGGATTAGACGGTTTTCACTGTACTAAAAATGAAAATAAAAACACAGGTTACTCCAATGGATCCAATGGAAGAAAGAGCAACATCTAACATCACTTTGTGATCAGCTGATACATTCTTTGTGCCATCATTTAAGGTATAAACTTGTAGTAGAACCACCAGAAGAAAAAAATGGGAAATTTTGAAGTATTGAAATAAAGAAAACAAAGAAAAAGAGGAGAACAGGAGAAAAAAAACCATTCCATTGAAAGAAAAGTATGTACAGACTTCAACAAGAAATGAAATTGTTGATTCACTGACTTTATTTTATGTCACATCATTACA